AACTGGTTTCCTGCAGCTGGACAGATGAACTGGTTTCCTGCAGCTGGACAGATAAACTGGTTTCCTGCAGCTGGACAGATGAACTGGTGTCCTGTCACTCGACAGATGAACTGGTTTCCTGCAGCTGGATAGAAACTGGTTTCCTGCAGCTGGACAGATAAACTGGTTTCCTGCAGCTGGACAGATAAACTGGTTTCCTGCAGCTGGACAGAAACTGGTTTCCTGCAGCTGGTCAGATAAACTGGTTTCCTGCAGCTGGACAGATAAACTGGTTTCCTGCAGCTGGACAGATAAACTGGTTTCCTGCAGCTGGACAGATAAACTGGTTTCCTGCAGCTGGACAGATAAACTGGTTTCCTGCAGCTGGACAGATAAACTGGTTTCCTGCAGCTGGACCTGTTCTGTGAACTTAAACTAAATGAGGATCAAGCAAAAATCAAACATGAATTAAACCAGTGTGTCCAGCAGGTGGCGCTGCTCACCAACCAGTATAAACTCATCTCACTCACCCTGTCAGAACCAGTGTCCCAGTCCCGCGAGGTCAGGGACTCCAGGGACCCACGGTAGTGGTTCGCCCCCAGACGGGTGGTCTCCCATCGGGACAGTCTGGGGCTGTTCTCCCCGGCTGACCCGCCGCCTGTCGGACCGTCGGCCTCCTTGGCGCTGAGCCCGTTGGACTTCAGGTCGCTGTTCATCACCAGCTGATATTTGGGGTTCTGAGGGACGGGCGGGGCTCTGGGGGTGGGGGAGTCCTCCTCCGAGGGGCTGGTGGACCGCTTGTTGGAATCCAGTTCTGAGTCCTGGACAGAAGGAAGGACTTTATCAGGAGGAACTTGAGGAAGAAGAGGTGAAGGAGGAAGAGGAGGAGGAGGTGAAGGAGGAAGAGGAGGTGAAGGAGGCGTGTGATTGTCAGAGGTTTGAAAAGAGAACGGGTCGGAACCAAAGAGACGAAGACAAACATGACGAACATCTGATCATGGTTTCCTGCAAAATGCTCGAGTGTTCTGCAGCGACCCGCTTCATGAAGCTACAAGTGGTCTGGACGAACATCTGCCCAGTCTTTGAACTGGTTTTTCATTCAAGCTTTATTTCTACAGGTTAGTCCCACTGAGCCTCGAGGACTCGTTTAGAGATTAAATCTGATTAAACAAAGTGATGACAACAGTAAACAACCGTTTCAAAATAAATGGAAGAAAGTGACGTGAAAAAACAAAAACCAGGAACGTGTGATGGGTTTAGGGTCAGAGTTCATCCAATCGTAACTGATGACGGAGGAGAATGAAGATCTAGAGACCAGAGCAGATGTTGACTGACACCTTGAATTGAATAAAACAAACAAGAACCCCGTTCATTAAAAGTTTCGGGTGGAAACAAACAATAAAAACGAGCATCAGGTCCTCGTTCACAGCTTTGTTCACATTAACTCAAGTTTTTAAAAAACCAAACGGCAACAAGACGAACGCTCGCAGAGGAAAAGAATCAAAGAGGATTCGTCAGATCTGTCAGGGAGCTCAGTCGATATTGATTAGGATTTAATTCTCTGCAGATCGGCGCTTCAATCACTCAAATTAAAACAAACAGCAAAGCCGTGCTGCGGTGATGTCATCAACCAGAGACGATGGAATATAATTTGATTTGTGCGAGACGATTGATTTTTTAGTTCTTACCAATCCCACGCCAGAGTCCGCCACCGAGTCTCTACCAGAGTCTGCAGTTCGGGGTTTGGGTCGTGGTTTTGACTGGGTCTTCTGAGTGCCGGCCCCGACTGGACAATCGATTCTGGCAGTTATTTTACTAACTGTGTCCTGATTCTGAGCTGGTTCAGTCCCATTCTGTGCCGTTTCTCTGAACGGAGTTACCACAATGCTGGGAACTGGACCCCCGACTTGTCCGGCGACACTCAGCTTGGACCGGCTGGACTTGGACTTCAGCAAGTTGAGCGCCTCCATGGAAACAGACTTCACGACTCGTCTGGGGCCAGAATAAAGCCTCGGTGGTGAACTGGAATACGAGACGTGTTCGGGACCGGAGAACTTCCCGATCAGGTCTTTGACGCTGCCGGCTCGGTGCAGGTTTGGACCTCGGGACAGGTCTACGGCTGGTTTCGTACAGGCGCCTCTCCTGGCCTGCTTTGGTTCTTGGTCACTGTTAGTCAACTGAGGGTTAAGCTGTGATGAAGAAGAACTGGATGAGAAGAGACGAACACAAGACCAGATCCTAAAAACCTGTTGAAGGTCTGAGCCAACAAGTTTCCAAGTTAATAAACTTTTAAAAGTCTCCTCGTACATCCATTAATATAGCCATCGTTTTTAATTTTTTTTAAAAGTGGCTTATGAAGTGGACTCAGGACTGTTAGGGCTAGAACATTTGTTCACCCCAAGCTAACACGTAGCGCCTTAAGAGCTAGGCTACATAAAATGTTAAGATGTTTTTCAAGCCCAAATTTTGTAATTTGTTTAAACTTGTGTAAGATGCTCTTTGTTTTAAATTTTAAAATATATTTAACACTCCTTTCATCTTCCCGTCACACTCTCCTCACTTGTTAGATCATTACCATTCCTGTCTTTAACAAGTCTAACCTGCTGCACATCCTTTCCAGCCTGATCCCTCTGTCTCACCAATCTGTACAAGTCCTTCTCTCCCTCTTTAGTGTCCAGTCTCCCACACAACTCATCATTCATCTTCTGCTTTGTCTTAGCTACCTCCCTCTTTGCTCTACGTCCCATCTCCTTATATTCCTGTCTCCTCTCTTCAGTCCTCTCTCTGTCATATTTCTTCTTGACTAACCTCTTTCTTTGAACATCTTCCTGCACTTCACTATTCCACCACCAGGTTTCCTGATCATCCATTCTCTGTCCAGATGACACACCAAGTACCTTCCTACCTGTCTCTCTAATTACTGTTGCTGTAGTAGTCCAGTCATCTGGAAGCTCTTTCTTACCACCCAGAGCCTTTAACAGCTCCTCTCTGAACTTATCACAACATTCTTCCTTCTTCATCTTCCACCATTTGGTCTTCTCCGTCTTCTTTTAGTCCGTCTGTAAAACTTTAAATATGTCAAACTGCTTAAACTCAAAGGTAGTGCTCCTTCACATTTATTTATTGTAACACTGCAAAGAAACGATGAATAAATAAATAAAACTGGTACAGCTAACTCTGCGCTCTAAACATGTGGAACCTAATTGTTACTTTGTATTAGAATTATTTGCGTTGGTTTGTTTGTAAGTTATCGTTCTTAATAAAAAATAAATAAAAACACTGGATGCTAATTTTTCTAATATTAGCCACAACTTTAGCTACTGGTCATTATTTAAAATTAAAGTTGTAGAACACAATAAAACACACGACTTCAGCCTAAACCTAAACCTTTAGCAGCTAACACTGGACGCTAATTTAGCTAAATTAAAATCCTTTGGACGGGTTAAATATATTGATGTTTATTTTTTTAATCTGTTAGATTTGTCTTCCTGGATTATTGGGCATGTTTCAGGATATGAGCTGAATTAGCTTCCAGTGTTAGCTACAGTGGAAGCTAATAAAGCTAACATTAGCGTTTGAAGCGTCGCTGTTTATACGAACAAGTTGCAAAAGTGTTGATTTGTCACAATTTTAAATATTAAATTAACTAAGATGTTGTGATTTCAAAGAACCTTCCATTAAGTTAAACCAGAATATGATGGTGTTATTTTTACAAAACGTGCATGCTGACTGATTAGATGAATACATAATGACACAAAGCCCTGTGTGTGTGTGTGTGTGTGTGTGTGTGTGTGTGTGTGTGTGTGTGT